TAAACCACTCACATAGGCATTGGTCTAGTCCGAAACCTTTCAGTTTACTAAGGAGACCTAAGTGGGATACTTTGTCGAACGCCTTGCTAAGATCAATAAAAACCACGTCCAACAGATGGTCCCTATCTCTGGCCTCAACCCAGTCTTCCCTAGCCAATAGTAGGTTTGTCAAGCAGGATCGTCCTGGTCGGAATCCATGCTGTTCCACAGCCAACAAGCCATGTGTTTCAACATAAGCTAATAGTTGATCCCTTATAATAGTTTCCAGTACCTTTGCAATAATGCATGTCAGACTTACCGGCCTGTAGTTAGATACCAATTGCCTATCCCCGTCCTTGAAGATAGGGCTTATAATGGCATCCTTCCAGTCCCTGGGTAGCTTAGCCTGCGTCAGAGACATTTGGAAAATCTCCGTAAGCGGAATATATATTATATCCGCCAAGGAAAGTAACAACTTAGGGTGGAGTCCATCCGGCCCAGGTGATTTACCTGGCTTCAGTTTAGACAGTAGTTTCAGAACCTTTGTGTGCTCTACCACAATTGAGGGCATCTGAGTGGCGATGGCAGTGACCTCGCCATATCCCTGGGTGGTACTATCAGACGAGAAGACGTCACAGAAGTATTCAGAGAGGTTTTCAGCCTTCCCTTCGTCTGACTCAGCCGCTTCTCCACTAATGGTTATGAGTGACGGTATACCACTGCTAGTTTTAGTCCTACGTTTAATATACGAGTAAAACCTTTTTGGGTAATGAACGCAATCTAGTACTAATCGTCTCTCGTACTCTATACGACTCTTGTTAATCGCATACTTACAGAGGTTTCGAATTTTGCGGTAGTCTTTCTGGAAGTTTTCCCTTCCTGTCATAACAAATTGGTCCCATAAGTTCTTTCGCCGTCTTAATAACCTCCTTATTTCACTAGTGATCCAAGGTTCATCATCGTATTTCCAAACATCATCCTGTATGGTTAAGCAAGGGACAAACATGATCTATTCGTAGCTCTATTTTAGCACACCTTGTAGATAGTGAGCATACGGTTGACGTTAACATAGCATTTAAAATTGTTTATCTCATTCTTACTAATGTCAATTTTGCTTTACGAGTTCGTCTTCTATATACAGCGGAAGCAATAAGAACCCGCCCGAAGAAGCCAAATCCCTGTGTTCAGAAGATATTTGTACAGCCACTTTCCTTACCTTGGATATTGTTACATGAATGTATAAACTGGAATACTTCACCCATTCCCCCTAAACCTTGAAAACTTATAAAAATTATAATTGTCCAAATTATTTTATTTTCCTCTAACTACTTCATCTTTAATTACATGTAATCTTTGTAAAATTATTTTATTCTTATGACCATTTCACCCTTAGTTACAAGTTATCGTTGTCCAAATCATTTTCTTTTCTTTAACAGTCTGCTACGTAATCAACGTGTGTACATACTTATTCTTTAATTACCCTTGATTTTTCCAAAATGATACATTACGCAATCCACGTGTTGCAACTATTTCTATATTTTAATTGTGTGCATTGATTTTCTTCGTTAATTATTACCCTAATGACATGCTGACACTGAATAATTATTGTTAACTAACATATCGCCACTTGATTGGCGAATTGCTGTGTATTGTAATAAAACTGATATATATATATATATATATATATATATATATATATATATACGACCTATATGCAAATATATTTCCTCAGCGAGTTATCACTTCTTCACAGCTGAACATTAAAGAAACGAGCCATTAAGTCAAATCCAACTTCTAGGGTAGAGCCGATGATTGGGTGGACATTATTACCAGTGTAAGCATTATTGAACTTATGCCGTAGCTTCTCAGATCCTAAAAGTTGCACCCAATGGGGTTAAAGAATACCACACCTTCAGGGAGTTTGCAGCATATCTTCTGACTTTGTCTGGTATGCAGTGTGAAAAATATGTTGATACTGAGGAAAAAGTGTGATAACTCCGGGACACTAAATAGACGACTAAATATTGTCTTCTCAATAGCCTTAATACAGTCACTATATAGGCTTATTGTTTCCCAAAATTCTCTTGCCTTCCCTAAATGCAGGTCTTTGTATAGGACATTTCCAGTCATCGGGCACTCGTGGACAGAGAAGTAGACGTCTTAAAGGTTTGCCACATGTCACTTATGTGTTAAGAGCCTATTAAACCTTCGATTCAAACTGGCAGGTTTTCTTGGTCTCAGGATTGTGCGAAGTTGGAGAGTAATTAATAGTGCAGGCAGGCAATATTCAGACACTCTCGATAGTAGGGAAAATTTGACTAGATAGCTTTCCATACCCACTGAAGTATGAGTGAACAAACACAGGTGTACTACTGCCAACTAATAATGTATCCTTTGAATTTTCTTGGTATTCCCCCTTGTTTGGAGCAAAGGTTGTTTATGGCAGCTCTGGCAAGTTACCGCTGCCAATTTCTCATCAGGTATGATATCCCTAATAATTAAAGACTTGCAACATTAAGTATCTCAATATCTACATATTGAATTAATATGTGTACTCAACTTAACCTTATCTCCTCTCAGTAAACCATGAGATTCTATGAGTTTGCATAAACATTTGACTTATGAGCCTTATTTTATCCACTGCCAATCAATATGATAGCTGCAGATGATTCACATCCTTGAACTGATGGGTCTATCGAAACATTTTACGATTCTTTTAGGGGGAAATGCTAGAAGTTGCATAATCGGGGTACTTAAGGGCTGAAAAAGTTAGAGTATGAAATATACTTTTCCCTGGAGGTACATCAACATACATGCACATGGTCCGGGGTTCCAGCCTTCGCCGACGCACACCTGATATCTATGGTTGGCCTGCGAATTTTGGGCTACCGATATCCACGCTGAAAATTCCACACTTGTATCAAAAATACGGTGTGGAATCAAGCTGTAACCATAAAATAAAATAAAAACGAATTTGCATTTCATGGTGTTCAGAGTTTTAGGTCGGCTAAGTGTCATTGTTTAGATCTAAAAGCAGGTGCTAGAATTCTGGCACTCGGAAAAGTATTGTGATGTCTGTTTTTAAAAGTATTCTGCGACTGTCGTGACTTAACAGTATGCCCAGGTCAGGTTGACCTAAGAACATATAGTTTCCCCACAGAGCGTAAAAGAAAAATCGCGTGGACCCGGAGTCATACGAGTACTATGCACTGCCTTATTACATGTAAGACTGACTACTATTAACGATGACACTGCTGACTGTGGTGGACTAGGTCATGCTAACCTGTTGTAATTATCTTAAGGATCACTACGTATTGGACGTCGTTAATCTGATAACATAGTTTAAGTATCTCAGAGAAACGTTGTACTGCAGTGGCAGACATGCAGTTCACCGATTTTCAATGTAGATATTGTGAACGAAGTAAGCTGAGTTGATATTTTAGTTAAATGCAGGCATTAGCCAGCTTTTTACTGTCGAAATCAACAAGCAGATTAAAAGTAATTAAAAATTAGCACCAAATATAGCATATGAGTCATTGACCATTGTGAAAATGCATGCTAAATAGTAGCACAGATCAAGACCCGAGATCATCGGTTCTTCATAGGAAGTTTGTACACTAGTCTGGTTAGAAGCGCCGAGTGACAGTTTCTCGGCTATGTTTGCAAATTATTTTGATAGTGAAGGGGGAATAATTTTGAACTTGGCTCCTGTACCTGATATGATTAAAGTTTTTATAGTCCTGATCCTTCCCTGAGACAGGCATCTTGAAGGGAAGCTGGCAACAGACGTCACCACTACAGCTGCGGATAGGATTTTCCATGGGCCAGTAAATTATCACTTAGAGCATAAAAGTGTGGTCATCTGGTGGCTTCATACAAAGATTTTATGTGGTGCCAATGTAATTCTCCTGTTTCGACTTTTTATAGTAGCCGATTTGTAATATGGCTGTGGTTAAATATTAAAAATTCAGATTATAAGTACAGAAAACTCTTGTTGCCTATGTTAATCCTTGTGATATATACCTCTGCAGAGATCTAGTTTCTCTTTGAAAGCGTCCACCGATGGAGCTTGGACTACTGAATTGGATAAGGAGTTCGAGTCATTGGCGACTGCGTGAGAAAATCTAAATTCCACACGTATTTTATTCGACCTCAGTTTGAGCACCTTCTTGTGTTGACCTCATAAATGTATCCTACCGGGAGAAAAAAGACTGGGTAAGTCAATCCCTAAATCACCCTTTAATTTTTGGTCTGTCAAAGTTTAGTCGTTTCTCTTCCTTCGGTATGATAATGGGAAGAGGTGTAAATCCTCTGTTTTCTTATCATGATGAAGGTGTGAGACACCACTAACTAATTTGGTTCCTACCCTCTATACGCTTCCCACGATATGTGCCTCTTTTTTAAAGCGCGGACTTACTGCTTGTATACAGAGCTCTAAATGAGGTATGGCATATCTCGCATAGAGTGCTTGGAACATACACTCGCTTGAAAGCCTTTTGAAGAGCCTACAGCATTCTAAAAGCCTTAGCTGCTGCTGCATTACAATTTAACGTTGCTTTTAAGTCATGACTTACAATAACTCCTCGATTCTTTTGTCCCCAAACATGTGATAGTTTTGTGTCTTTGAAGGAATACGAAGTTCAAGACCCCTGACTTAGGTACATTACCTCGCTTTTATAGGCTTCTCAGCTCTCTGAGCCATGATCATATGTAGTATCTAGATATCATCTTTAAATGTAGCGATTTGGCCTCATATTCATGTGCTTTCGATAATAAATGAATGACCTAATCTATAATTTTTGCTCAAAACTACTGTAAATGACATTTAGATGTCTCTACAGTGATGGGTTTAGTAAAATGAGAACAAAATTGGCGAAAATCATGTACAGAAACGTACTAGATATTGAATGTGGTAGAAAGCGTCTGTCTTTTATCGTTAGTAATGAAGTACTTGTTGTGAAAAAACCCCAAGATCTGCCTGTGTACCACTATGAACCTTCACAGTAAATTTATGCATTGAAACTGGTTAAATATATCAAGTAAAATATATATACAGAAGAAATTTAAAAGTTGCCACTGTATGGTTTCATCTAAGGCTTTCTCAAGTTGTTATAATTAAACGGAGATTTAAACTAAAATAATATGCTACGACGAGATGACTTAAGTCATCTGGAGTGCCATGGATGCATATAAACTCAAGCCGCCAACAATGCAGATCAAATCCCGCTAATTCTGAACTAACTGCATCATGCTACAATGAGTAAATTCTGAAATTGTTATGAAATAGTTGGATTATGCGCACAAATTAGAGCTCACATTTGGTTTTCAGCATGACTGGCACTAATTTCAGCACTCTGCCTATGAACGGTTTCATATAGCACAATCAAATGTTTTACTGCGTGATTATTAAAACAACAAAACGTCTCTTAATTTTGCGTAAATGAACATTTAATCAATCTAAAAAATATCAGCAAATATTATTCCTTCAGGAAAATTAATTTTTTATTTCATCAGTGACCTTGGTGATTCTGAGTTCATAATTTGAGGTCGTTTTGGTTTCTATTTCAGTTTTCGCTAAACAAGAAAACGCACAATTATGGAATGCTTATACTATACATACCAGTGAATTTCAGCCTCATAACAGCCTCATAAATTCTCTCTAATGAAAACAGGCTGAGAGGCAGCCTTTTGCTTCGATTAATATTTTTGAATTTTTTAAATTACTTCATTATGGATACGGATCGATAAATTCAATCGATAAGTGGTATAGTAGCTTTTAGACGATGACTGATCCTGAGAAGAAAATCTGCCGTTATTTTAATACTCTTGGAGGTTGCTGGTATGGAGACAGCTGTAAATTTCTTCACATACCGAATAAAAAACCACCTTGCAAATTTTATGGGTAGGTTACGTATATATTTTGTTTGATTTATCTGAGTTCATCAACTGGATGTCGTTATGGAGAAAGTTGCCATTTTTCACATGACAGAACCCCTTTCAAATCAGTTGAGAATTACAATAACAATCCACCAGTAGAAATAATCAAAGAAGTAAGTTTACTATTGTTGACAAGTTCGTGATACAAAAATTGTTTATCTGTATTATATAATACATATTGCCTAGTCGCGACTTTATACAGCACTTAGCAATATCCAGAAAAACGGGATAGTAATTGTGTTTTTATAACAGTTTTGTGTGACATGCAGTAACGATGAAATATGGGGATGAAGTTTGAAGCATCAAAGTGACGTGTTACTGCTCATCTGATTCACTTCAGAATTCTCTTCATGAAACGAACATACTGACGACTTAGTGACTTGGTTTTCAGGAAAGTCACGTGGGATCTTATCATATTTCATTGCAGTGATAACTCTATACACGTTTTCCATTAGTGAGCTGTTTCATTGCCGTAGAAATACTACATAATTTTTAGTGGGGCCATGCCATTTGAATCTCTTTATCGACATTTTTAATGACTTGTAGTGCAAAATGTTTGTGAACTCAACATGACCTGAGTTAGTATGTCTACCAGTTCAGTGAATCGTATCAGATTTCAGATTTATTGGTTGAGGACAGAAGGCTTGGAGCCTATGTTAATTCTTTTCTTGTAAATGTCTGTGGTTGTCCAAACCCTTCTTGAAAGTTGGGGTTGCAGACACCACTTCTTCTGGGAGTTGGTTCCAAGAGTTTATGACTTGGTGTGAGAAACAGTACTCAACAACAATATGATTTCTTCTTGGATTTTGAACTCTCCTGCTGTGTCCTTTAAGGTGTTCCTACCTGGTGGGAAGAAGAAGAGAGATCAAGTCAGGTCCATAGTCATTATTTAAAATTAATTAAATCTCCTCTCTGCCTACGGTATGACAGGGAGAAGAGATTTAAACTGTCTAGTCTTTCCTCGTATGACATGTTAGTCATGCCGAGAACCATACGTGTTGCCTTCTTTTAAATCCTTTCTAGAATGTATGAATCCCCTTTAAGACAAGGACTGGGTGCCTGAATACAGTTTTCTGGTCTTGACCTGACAAGAGATGTATATAAGGAGGTGAACATATCTCTGGTGATTCTAGTAAAGGCTGTGTGAATTGCCCATAAGGATTTGAAACTACGTGCAACCACCGCGCGACAGTGTGCTGTAGTTTTTAAATCTTGTCTAACTATGATACCTAAATCCAAACGAGTCTGAAATGACGGGAGTGTTATTCCGTCTAGTTCGTAGGACGTGATGCTTGCTTGTCCAATGCGCATGGTTGTACATTTGTGGAGGTCCTCTTGCAACGTGAACGTATCACTGTTGCCCTTCAGCTCCCTCCAAATTTTTAGGTCATCTGCGTATAGGACCATAGGGGAGTCGATGAGCAGAGATAACTCATTGATACACAAAATAAATAGGAGAGGTCCGAGTACTGTGCCTTGTGGCACTCCGTTATGCACTGCTGGCCAAGATGAGAGTCTCGAGTTGATCCTGACCCTCTGCCTCCTATCTATGAGGAATTCCCTGAGCCAGTTTAGTAATCTGCCTTTGATACCAAGACTTCCCAACTTCATGAGTAGTCTTTTGTGAGGACCTTTTTCGAAGGCTTTTCTGAAGTTCATGAAGACGACATCAACAGGTCTTCTGTCGTCTCTTGATCTGACCCAGCTTTCTTTTGAAGCGAAAAGGTTTGACAGGCTTGAGAGGTTGCCTCGGAAGCCATGCTGCTCTCGAGATAGCAAATTGTTGTTTTCCAGATGTGCCATGATACTTTTCTTGATGATTCTTTCCAGTGTCTTGATTAAAGTGCTGGGAGACTAATAGGCCTGCAATTTGAAGGGCTTTGTCTTGATCCTCCTTTGTGGATGGGGGTTTCTATGGCGTCTTCCCAGTTACATGGCAACACTGCATTCAGGAGAGAGAGCCTGAAGATCGTGGTCAATGGGCTGGCTATGTGAGCTAATAGCTCCTTGAGAAGCCTTGGATGAAGCTTATCAGGACCCATCTAGTTTCATTAGGCTCTTGAGCACAATTTCTTGGTCGATGTCAACGGAATCTTTTCCAGCGTTCCTCTGGTGCAGGCAGGGCTGATCCTATAGGGAGCGGTGACTCCTGCGTAAAGACTTCAGAGAAGTAGTCTGCCATTGTTTCTGCTTTTTCTTGATCTTCTTTGATTATGTCATTGTCAATAGTCAGGTTTCGGACAGCATTGAATGTTTTATTCCTGAAGTTCATGTATGAGAAATTTTTCTTAGGTTGTCTCTTTTCATTTTGAGCTAGATGTGCTTTGAACTTCATCTTTGATTGGAGGATTTCCGCATTAGCTTAATTCCTAGCAGTGTTATATAATTTTCTGGTCTCAAGTGTGGCAAACAGGTTCCAACATTTGTGGAGTAGACCGATGATAAAGTAAATAGATTGAGTGTTTGTTTGGGTTTTCAGTAATGTCAAATCAGATGTGTGCATTCATATCTTTGTTACTGACCATTCGTGGATTTTCTACTTCTACAGATGTTTCTACTCTGAACTCAGCAATTTTTCTCTGAGAAGTAGTTATACGTTTACGGCATTCACAAACTAAATAAAAAGTAGCGAGGAAATACTGTGGGACGCATAAAAGTGGTTTAGTTTATTGAATGCAGAAAGTGCTTCGTCTGTATCAGTCTGGAAAAGCAATGCATGCATTGAAAATGACTATTAACGGCATTTATGTGTGGTTTTAATTATAGAATGAAAGGGCTGACAACAGGTGCCTTTTTATCTTCCTTAGAGATCTTATTTCGTAGTCATATGGCCATGGAACGGTATTTTCGGACTACATTAGATTTGTCCAGCATCCAGCACCTACCTGAATGGGATGTCTACATTAATCCTCAAGCTCTAAATAAAGTTTGTGAGAGCTGTCTATCGTTTGAAACGAGGCGCAACACCAGGACCTGATGCAATGAATCTAAAGGTGTTTAAGAACAATGATGAGGAACTGCTTCCTGGGCTAACTGAGATATTAGGTAATGTCTTGAAATCCGAAGAAGCAACTTAATGCTTCAACTAAGCCTTGGAATTCATATAAACGTCGAAATGGTAGCTTGTAAGCCATAAATCAATTCATTTTGTGTGAATGAATGAAATCCAATTTCGAAATTTTTATGGACTTGTATAATTTAGGTTTAAAGTGTTTGCTATGATACCGAATTTGTTTCGTGACGTGCACTTAGGAAACCCCACAAATCAACTTAAGTCTCATAGCAACCACTGGAACCTAGATTATACAAGCCCCTATAGATTTTAAAGTTAGATTTAATTCATTCACACAAAATGAACTAATTTGTGGCTTACAAACTAACACTTAGAAGTTCAAATGTGCATTTCATATGCCCATTGAGAGTGATGACATGAAAATGTTAGTTGTCTTTTACTTTAGGTGTCTGCGTTTAGTCTCCTATGTGAGGTAGTATAATAGATTTTTTGATTTGATTTTTGATTTACAGCTTGATTCTACACTGTATTTTTCGTACAAGTATGGAATTTTCAGCATGGATATCGGTAGCCCAAATTTTGCAGGCCGACCATAGATATCAGGTGTGCGTCGGCGTGGGCTCGAACCCTGGACCATGTGAATGGTCGGCGAGAGTCCTAACCAATGTACCACCGACGCTTCATTAGTGTCTTTCGGTTGCTTAGGAATAATATTTGGAGATTCCTCGTAAGACCACTGAAAACAGCTCAAGATGGTAAAAAATGTTTATACCTCAGGGTCTTTGAAATTTTAAACACTAACTGATCTTTATAGAGTTATGTCCTTTATTATGTCCACTTTTTTTATAAAGTATCGTCACCACTTGATGACGTATATATATTAATATTTAGCGTAAACGATTGTTTCCAGTGCCAACCCAGAAATTTTGAAGTGCAACGTACATAATGACCACCTCGGAGACTCCTTAACTACTCGCTGACGACCTGGAAGATAAGACTAAATCCTTGAGCTTCTGTGCACACTTCTATATGGAAACTCAGTCACAACTAATTCCCTATTTAATAAAAGTTCGTGCTGCGGCTTTACTGAAATCCAATTCATTAATATTTTTATTTCCCATTCCTAAAGTCATAGATATTTAAGCAAGCTAACTAGTGGACGAAAAATTCACTGTTTTCAAGGTCACTAATAGGGTGGGTGATATTAAGTTTAGGCATGGAGTGTCAGGTGAGGAGGGGAAGTCAATCGATGAGGTTATGAAAGTGAATTGACTGAGGTGGTTTGAACATGTGTGGCACATGCCTTGCAATCGCTTTTCACGGCGGTCGATGTTAGCTGACATAGGATCAGGGTGAAAAAGAGCTAGTCTGGTCAAACCAAAACATGGCTTCATTAGTCAATGAAATACATAACAGTTGGTGTAAGCCACGTAGGGAGGTGTATACTTGCTGGTTGCGGTCCTCAGGACGGTAAAAACCAATGAAGGCTTGAGAAAATTGGTGATATTGCTCAAAATTGTTCTCAGTGGTGCAGATGCATTTGTCATATCCAGTAAAGCTCTGTTGTTTTGTTTTCCCCTCACACCTCTATCTATTATCTCTCTTTACCCTCTTCTGTTACTTTGTGTGCTACGCGTGGGAGTGTGGTAACTCGAACTGCTGCACTTCTGAGTAAAGTTTTATAATGAAACTCAGTTAGGGAGTCATATTACATCAAAATGTTCTGCAAAACTCCATTTATGCATGTTGCATCATTTTAGTTTTGCTCACTTACCAATAATCCAATGAAGTGTATTTTTATTAGATTAAAATAAGAAGGGATATTCATAGCGAAAATATGATTCCGGCTTTATAATCATGTTTATGGTCAAAGGTTTCCTGTTTGGTTAGATCCTATATGTTCATCTTATTTCATATGCAGAAGGTTAGAGGTTTACCTTAAACGTAATTTGCTCGCACGTAGGTGATGGATGTAGTTGTCTCTATAGATATAACTAAAGCTACAGAATACAATGTTGTTCGAATAAACCAGTTTTGAAGTTCGTAGTCATGAAGCATAGACACAAGAACAGCAAAATGAAAAACATTTGGAAATAAAAATTAAGGCCAATGAAGTTCATTTAGAAACTAAAACGGAAATTCTGGCTGGTTGGCACCTTCCTACTTTATGGTTATGTGGAATTATTGTTGCCTAAAATATTGACTATTGTAACCCGGGTTGTAGTACCATAATCAACAACAAGATGGCGACTCATACAGCATTTCTATTCCTCATTTTGTTTCTTGGGAGTTAGCGAATCTTTATGATCTCTCCTAGATGAAATTATAACTAGTAGTTCACAGGGCTTGTATAAACCTATGAGCATTGATTTCTTCAATGATAAGTTGTGAGCTTTCCACAGCGTTCACTCTGTGTCTGTCGTAGATCTCAACAATCATCGTAAAACTGACTTATGCTCTTTTAAGTATTTCCATCAGCCCTAAACACATAAAGGTGAAGAGGGAGGCTGAACTTAGACAAGCAGATTTTCTATGCAATGATCTCCATAAATGATGACTGATCGAAGCTGAAATTATAAAAAATGCTGAAGCTGGAATAGAAAGTGAGACACTGTGTAGAACAACTTAAACATATTTTCACCTCACTATTCCCTTCCAGTGCTCACAAATCATTTGAATAAGCATATACGAACCATGATAAATTAGGGTGTTAGACTATTTCTAGAGACATTTGGCTTACTGATTTCAACATAGAACTTTGCACCGATTTGCAACAGTTCAAGTCGCCACACTCCATGTGAAGCACACAAAGCAAGAGAAGAAAGTAAAAAGAAATGCAAAACAGAGACAGTAAACAGAGATGTGAGTCAAAAAGAATAGTAATATAGAAGAACAGTATAGTTTTATTGGATATTGTAAGTCACATGGTATAGATGCATTGCGCCATTGAGAACGATTTTGAGCAATATCACCAGTTTTCTCCAGCCATCGGTTTTTGCCATCCCGAGGACCCCAACCAGCAAGTGTACACCTCCCTACGTGGCTTACACCAATTGTTATGTTTTTCATTGACTAGTACCATGTTTTTGTTTGACCTCCGCTAGCTCTTTTCCAGCCTGACCCTATATCCGCCAACATTGCTCGTCGAGGAAAGCGATGACTAGGCATACGTAACACATGTCCTAACCATCTCAGTCTATGTGACCGCACAACCTCGTCGATTTAGCCTTACACCAACTAACTTTATGGAAAGTAAGTTAGTTGATTATCAAGGTAACATAATTGTCTTTGTCAAAGACTGATTGAGTGCAAACATTAGATGATAGGTTCGATAGTCGACATCAGGTTTGTCCGAATTCTACACAATGTCTCACTTTCTATTCCAGCTTTCTTCATAATTTCACTTTCCACAGTCATTGTCATCTCATATATTAGAATACATTGCTATCGACGCTTATACTTTCAGATAAAGGAATAAGAAGACGTAATTTGTTTGAATCGTGTAATGTATTTGCGAGCACAACACATTTCGAACAATCTAATCACACAAGGACTTGTCATAGGAATATATATGAAATTAATAAAGAGATAAGAGGTGAGACAATAGACTACTTAGGTCAAGTTAAAACGACATATTCAAGGTCAAAATAACAATGAAGACCACTAAACCAAATAGCAGAGGTAATAGTACATCTGCTATGGTGTCAAAACAAAATTAACCAAGAAAGTAATGTTTACTGATGACGTTTCGAGCACAATTTATTGCTCATAATCATATCAAGGTGATCACACAACTTCCTAAATTCATTTATATAGTTCCATTGTTTTTCTCTTGATTTTCACACAATAGGGTGGGAGAGGGTTAAAATTCTAAAAAGTAATCTAGGTAGGTGGAGAGAGAGGTTGATTACTGAATCCTTGTTCATCGGGTCTACACCCAATACATGCAATAGGAATGACTCGTCACTCATACCTGAAATATGGAAAATACTATTACCAATCAAATCAAGAGAAAAACAATGGAACTATATAAATGAATTTAGGAAGTCGTGTGATTACCTTGATATGATTATGACCAGTGATAAATTGTGCTCGAAACGTCATCAGTAAACATTACTGTATAATACTGTGAGACTATATCAAGACAAAATTTACCCATAATGGAATTACACTCTACCACAGTGCACAAGTTTTATTCTTATAACCAAGAAAGGTTTAATGTGATGACAAATTGTTTTTGAACGCATAAAGGTGGCTCGAACTTTCTAATTGCTAGGGCTTCTACAAACGTTAGGACACGCCCCAAACACGTTTTATAGATAGGTTTGAAAGATCTGTTAACACCAATTTTATGTCCTGTCTCTATAATATATTTCGCAATAGAAGAGCTAGGTCTCCTGTTCTCACCGTTAATAGGTTCTGAAGATTCCATTTGTTTCTGGAGCCATTTAGGAATATGTTGTGAAGCCAGCCCTTACTTGCAGAGATCGATGAGTCCTCCTTATGTATGTGTGTCCACACGTACATTCAAATTGATAAATACAGTGGGACGTGAAGTCATTTTTCGCATGTTCGAAGGGTTTAGATAGATATAATGGCTTTACATTCTCTATTATTATGATATTAGCTGCATAAAAAGTCTTTTTAACAGCAGCGTTCAGTTTTTGTTTAGTTATCAAGCTGCTGTGATGCCCCATATAGGGTAGCTTGATGTACACGTCTTTCTTAGGGGCGAGTTGTGGAGTGGTTCTTGGTGTTCTGACTACTTGTATATCTCCTGATGAACTTGTCTGGGTAATTGTTATCAACCAGAGTTTGTGTCAACTTTCTTTATTCTTCATCAAGTGTGTCTTCAGTGCATATTCGTTGGATTCTTGACCTAAGTCTATTTTCTCACCTCTTATCTCTTTATTGATTTCATATATATTCCTATGACAAGTCCGTGTGTGATCAGATTGTTCGAAATGTGTTGTGCTCGCAAATACATTACACGATTCAGACAAATTACGTCTTCTTGTTGCTTTATCTAAATTCATAAGGGGAACTAAGTGCTTTAAAGCTTATACTTTCCTTAAATGCAGTAAAAACTTGTGAATAAGGTGGTGGTAGACATTTAATTAGTCTTGAGAATGCAAAACACTATTGGAGGTCATAGATTAGACAAAAGGTGAAGAAGATAAATTTAATGCAATATAATGATGGATTATATTTTTCTAGCCGATGTTTTAGAATTTCCGTTTTTATTAAATGAAATCTTCAGAGCTTTACATCTAAGCGGATTTATTTAAATTCATTATAAGTTGTTTAATATCTTGATGTGCGCTTACTTTCAAATTGATTCTGATAACTGATTCTTAGCAACTTTATTAATATTGTAAAATACTAGGTACTCAAAGAGAATGTTGATCCAAGTGAATTATCTGGAACAAATAATAACAATATGACTCAACCAATTGTCAATAGTGTTGAACATGAAATAACCGATGCTGTTTCAGAAGCTAATAATAATTATAAAAATGATAAAAGTATCACTGAGAATGATGATCAGTCCGCGCAGATTGTATCATCAACAATGGACAGTAATAGCAATACAACAGAAGTAGACAATCTCAATGTTGTATCTACTGTAGGGAATATGATAATCAATAATAATACAAATGATATCAATTATGCTAAGTCGACAGTTAATAATTCTGTCTATTATGATACTGTCCAAACGAAATCGAAAGATTTTGTTTTAAATGATGCATCAAATAATAATAGTAATAATAGTGGTTTAAGAGATAGTTGTCAAAATTATGCGATAACTACAGTATCTGGTCGTTCAAGTGGAATGTCAAATGAAATTGAAATCTATTGTGGTATTTATCATATTGTGTTTTGTTCTAATTTATTCATTCATTTCTTTGTTTTCGTTTGATAAGTTTGTTTTCTTTGGCGATTCTTTTGTTTTTGAATTTCACAGTTTATTATCACTTATTATTGTTTCCTTTAGTTCTGAGTGGAACCTAGGGCTTCAACAGCACATCTTCACTTTATCCTATTCTTTGCAGTCCTTTACAGCTCGTCCCATGATTGTTCATAGTTTCTCATCTCCTCGCACAATCTCCTCCATGTGTCATCCTCAGACTAACGCTCAACTCATCGTTTCCGATTCACCTTTCATTTAAGAGCCTAGAACACAATATAACTCAACGGTCTCCTCAGCGTGTACGCGGTTCATCTCCACTTTCTTCGGCATATTTATTGAATAATAGGTTGTTGATTGATTCGATCTCAGAGCTTGTTGTTACTGATTCTCTGTGTCATTTGATCTTCAGTATAGAGTGAAGCGTCGGTGGCACAGCGTTTAGGACGCTCGATGACCATGCATATGGTCCAGGGTTCGATCTCCGGCCGACTCACTCCTTTACCTCGCTAAGCCAGAAATAATGTTGGTAAAGAGGAAAGGTTGGGCATGAGGCTAGCGACCCCATCCTGAAAAAATAAACACTGCTACAGAAAATTCAAGCCACTAGCTTGAAGCCCTATGTTCCACTGGGAACATGAAGGAGAAAAATAGAGTGAAGGCAGTTGTTGGTAAAAGTCTGCACCTTAATAGAGATGCTTTCCGTGGCACACCAAGTTTCTTACCCATACAGAAGAAATGAGTAACTTGACATAAGGTGATAAAAATCTGAACTTTGTTCCTTATACCGAGTCCAGACGACTTGCAAACTGATTTTAGAGTGATGTTCTGACTTGCCTTTCCAGTTCTAGTTTTCTGACATCCTCATCTGTGCTGTCCCCGTAGTTGAAATAGTACTTCCTAGATAAGTGAAGAAGATGACCTCTTTCAAATTTATTCCATTATTCTTTGGTTGGTCTAATCACCTGCATCTTCTCTATGCTTACTTGAAATCTTGTCTTCGTTGGCTGCTTCTTCTGCCTACTTGTCGGTTTTCGCCTGTAAGTCTTCGAGTTTCTGTGACACCAGAAATCCAAATCTTCCAGGGTATTCTTATTGATCCGACGTATTCCTATCTTCTGGCTCTCTCACAGTCTGAGGCATAATCCAATCCTTCACAATTAGAAATATCATCGGTGATAATAGGCAGCCTTGTCTTGCTACAAAAACTTCATAGTCTTATGTCATGTCATGTTTATCCGTTATCTGTTGAAAGATCTTTATTCAAGGTAAACATAAGGAGTCTCTAACAAACGGGATCAACACAAACTAATGAATACTATGTGTACAATACTGACAATGGCTAGAAACTTGTGTCAACTAGAAACATAAAAGTAATGTCAGTAGGCTGAGTGTGAAATTTTGATGAGATAAGGCGAGAAACACTCTTCAAAAGCATCGAATCTGAATAGTTGTGATGATAGTAACTGATTCAAGTTTTAATAAAAGGCAGTTTACCCTGTTGCAAATTTTTTCTTTTGTTTTGTTTTTCTTTGTGTTTAAATTTTGAAATGTCTTACTCTAAATAAAAATTTAAAAAAAGCGAACCCTTCTTTTCATTAGGTTCATGTAGAAGAGTTCTTGAACGTCGAGGTAATGAAAGTTATTGTACTCTGTTGAAAGATCATTATCTCGAATGTTTTTTGGATAAAGAAGGTGATCATGTAAAATATGTGAAAACAAAGGCTGCTTTAGAACCTGGACAAATGTATTGGTGTAAATCATGCATTCTAATATTTGAAAAACCTTGGTCACTATTTCAACATATGGCTGATAAAGCTAAAGGGAATAAAGTTCAACGATGGGAGAAAAAAATTCATCTTGATTGGATGGATAGTGTAGCAGGATTAATGGCAGGTAAATTTCAGTGTTCTTTTCTTTGTTTGTTTGTTTGTTTTTTATATGAAGTATGATTAAGATTCGTATATTGAATGTAGTTTTATTTAACATGAAGATTTTACGTAATGTCAGCTGACAACATGCTCTTTGATACAATCAAGGGTCATCAGATAGATACCCTTCTCATGTTAACTCTAACTGTGTATACAAATTCCCATTAAAACCTGTGGTAGTGGTTACATCGGGAGAACAGAAAGTTGGTCAAACTTTCGTTTTCTGAATGTGTCCTTTAAAAAACCTACGTTTCAATGGAACAAACGCTTTCAATAGTGTGATTGTCAGGCATCTCGTCGATATGTGTTCCTAAGGTGTGGACACTATGAAATCCTTTTGAAATTGTCAAAGCAGCCTCTATCAAACACTTGAAACCCGATTTATTTGTTCAGAAAAAAAAACAATTATCACTTTTTCTTTATTCTAGTAACTGGATGTCTTTACTGTCTCCTTCATCTGAACACGTAATCTTTGACTTTAATCAGTCTTTCCTTCTGTACAGGTGGTAACTTCTCTTACCCCTTGTTTTCATGATCTGAGTTGAACGCATCACATTGTTAATCAATTTATTAGTTACTCATCATCTTACTCACCTCATCTATGTATTACGCAACTCTTATGTCACTGTATAGCAACATTTCTTATTTGAACTTGAATTTTCTGGGTATTAGCTGCTATAAAAGTGTAATTTCTGAGCGCTGTTTATTAAGTTTGGAGTCTCTTGTCTTTAACTGACATTACGTAACATGTACAAGTATGTTAAAATTATTCTGTACATAAACTCAATCATTTCATTAGGTTATACTCAGCTGAAGTGCGTCGGTGACACAATGGTGGAATAGTCGTCCAGATTAATAATAATAATTTTTCCTTCACGTTCCCAGTGGAACATAGGGCTCCAAGCTAGTGGCTTGAAGTTTCTGTAGCAGTGTTTAATTTTTACAGGATGGGGTTGCTAGCCTCATGCCCAACCTTTCCTCTTTACTAGCATTATTTCTGGCTCAGTGAGGTAAAGGAGTGCGCCGGCCGGGGATCGAACCCCGGACCATATGCATGGTCGGCGAGCGTCCTAACCGCTATACCACTGTCGTCCAGATTCCTACCGATGAAATACAAGCGTGATCTGATCAGGTGCTTAGCATTTATAGCGAGGTCCATTTGTTTCGAAGACTGTGTAGAGAAAGAACTCCAGGTCATCCGAGACATTCTAATCGAGAACGGATATTCAGAGAAGTTCATTAAAGCGAATATAGGTCAAAATAGTCGTAGACATGAACTGGCTACGGTGGAGAAAAAGCCTCTATTTTTATGTCTACCATTCAGGGGAGACGCTCCTTCAGAGATTCTATCTCAACGTTTAACCAGGGCGATAAAAAAAAACTTTCTATTCTGCACATCTGTTCCTATCCTTCAGTAGCCGTCCAGTGTTCACTCAGCAACTGAAAGATATCTTACCTAACCTTAGTTCTTCTTCATGCATATACCATTTCAACCGTTCCTGTGAATCAAGTTGTATAGTGCGCACGACTAATCAGGTTAGTTTACGGCTTCTAGAACATTTACCAGCTTGGTTCAGCAGGAGGGAAATTAAGTGCATAGAAAGCTCGATCCTGTCACACTTAGTCGACACTGGACATCGCATCGACACCAACACGGCTTTCCGGGCTATATACCGAATTTTGAAGTCGTTAACACGTGCAGTTCGCTTACGTCTGCTACACATAGCTGAAGCTTTTGCAATAAGATTGACTAAACGGGAACTTGGTATCCAAAAAGAACACGCTCAGACTCTGTTCCTACCATGGCCAAACTTGGATTGATAATTTCTCTTCTCACCCAGAGTGCTTCTTCCCCCTTAACCCTCTTGGTTTGTTTTCTTTGCCTATTATTGCAGTTATTATTATTCGTCATAATTTATACCCATCATGCAAACATGCTCTCAATACTATAGAATTTTCCACTTATCCTATCCGAACTTATTATTAGTGATATTATCTTTTCTCTCAGTATATGCGTAAATCATTTATCACCTCAATGATAACCACCAACGGCATCTACTTGGTTAGTGTAGTATCTCTAAGTACCTAAGGTGTACAGTCATGTAAAGAAAATAGACGCATGTTTCGAACTTGAGTTAAGTTTCATAGATGAAATTTATAACCGATGGCTTCCGGAACGACACCTGAATCTCTTGTCCTGAGAGCAGAATTCAACTCGACGTTTGTTGTAGGAAGTATATTGTTTGATATATTTATATATTTTCCTTATCGACGAAAGCATCTTCAGAGGCTGTACAGTCGTAGTTATATTTGCCAAAAATGTATAGTAGTCTATTACTGAGTAACACGGGGTGACATAACTGATATAATTACTCAGAAATGGCTTCAAAAGTAAAATTAAAAATTACGCAGTGTTCAACAACACAAAAGAAGAAAGAGTTAAAAAATTTTGATTAGGTTAAACGTGTTATTGCGTGAGAAAAAAAGTTACTTGAGTATCCATTCAACATTTGTGAAGAGGGTGAGAAACTGTACAAAAGGAACATGTGAGACTGATAATACTGAATTAATTCTTAAAAACAAAATATTACAGGGGACGAATAGTAAAGAGGTTAAGACCATGGTAGAAGACTGTAGAAAGACTATACCTTATTACGCAGGATGTTAACGGTTACCAGCAGGGTAAGCTACGTGCAACTTAATGAGCTTGTTAATATTCTAGTGCACAGACACATGAACTCATGTGAAAAATGGGCAAAATCCATTTTATCTGATTCACAACACCCTCTTCATTCACAACTATCCCCTTGTATCTCATTAGGCACGACCAGAAGCTGATTTCGAAAACTATATGCTCGCACTAGTAAGTACAAAATCTCATCCATACCCTACTTAGCTCGTTCGTGTTCTGTGCGATAAAGAAAGCATTAGGCGTGAAACCTTTAACTTATTAAATAGTCAGTAAAACAACTGGATCTCGTCTTTCCAACTCATATCATTTATAGGTACAACGTTTTTCTTTTCCTTTTCTCTCTCTCTTTTTTTTCTGTTATGTGCAGCTTTATTTCTTTCTTCTGCTTACGCCAGTAAATATGCTAGAACCTACTTTTCTAGCACTTTCAAGCACTCTGTTTAATTTTAGCTTTGCTACCGACATGCCAATATGTTGTTGTCAAAACTAACTGAGATTACCCTTAATCTATGTATAATTTTATTTTATTGTTAATTTACTAACTGGATGCAATACTGTAGTAAAATGCTGAGAATTCCATTTTGTATAGCAAGTACTGTTTTGGAATAAAGCTATTATCATTATCATTATTATTAGAATAAAAGGCTGGCAAACCCTCTATGTATACAGAGTTCGGCGTTGTATTGACGAATTGACAGTGCCTCCACTATATAAACACGCCGAAATCTAACGCCCTTTGTACCATTTGGTCTTATCACGTAGATAATCTTAACAACTCCGGTGGAGCTGCGTGGCTTGAGTTTACCAAGCACTCGAGAATTGGGAATTCTTACCTTATCAAATTTCTAATACTTTCTTCCTTTGCGCCGTTTAATACTACGTAATTTATAACTTTTATTTTTATTTTCGAAGCCTCTTCTAACTAATTACATCAATCGTATCACCTTTGTTACTCAATAATGGACCACCAAACATTCTGGTACTGCGTCGGTGGCATAGCGGCTGGCAACCCCATCATGTAAAAATTAAGCACTGCTACAGAAACTTCAAGCCACTAGCTTTGAAGCCCTATGTTCCATTAGGAACGTGAAGGAAAAAAATACATTTTTGGTACAGCCTCTGAAGGTGATTTCGTCGATAAATTTTCTTCACTGAATTGTCTTATATATATATATACACGCGATCTCCAATGAATGGTAACAGCACACTCACAGAAGCATATTTAGTTTTACTGAGATTTCACTTCTTGGTTAGCACCACAAAAAATATTTTCTCACCGTTTGTCTTTTACACTGTTATTTCCTGTTCTATGCAAATGGAAGCTCTCTAATTCTCTTTTATTTTTTTAAAATCTTAGGTTATGATTTGGGTTTATTCAGTCCTACAAAACTTCGCGTGGATTTACGTAACTTATTAGCTGATCAGCATACTGTTGAAGAGGAAATGGAAGCTGCAGCTGTTACAGCAGCTGCAATGATGCAATGGTTAGCACCATTAAGTAGTCCTTGGCGTCTACAACAACGAGAAATGATGCGAAAGATTGAACAACTTAATCGTCAAATGTTACGAAAAGCTAATTTAAGCTTTAATACTGGCTCTGGAGTTTATAATATGAGAGCTGCTCTACCACCTGTACCTGTATCTGCATGTCCATCACCTGGTCATACGTACACATCAAGTCGTAATACTAGCGTTTCATTGCCAATTACTTCTATGTCTAAACAGATAGATAATCAGGTGAATAATTGTGGAAATGGTGATTTACAAACGGATAATTCTGGTCGAAATTCACCTACAAAATCAATTTCACAAACATCTTCAGAGCATAACGGTGCAGTAGTATCAAGTGAAATAAATTCTAGTGTACAGACAGAGGATGTTAATGAAACAAGTAATGATAATAATGTTGGTCCTGTTGGAGATGAAGAATATGCACGACCAGAATCAGCTGTAAGTGAACAATCAGGAATAGATTCTGTAGCGACAACTGGAGCTTCCGGAGATATCCCACGGAAAGCATTAAGTAATGGCATAAAGCCAACACCAGAATTTGATGGTGGATCAGATGGAACGTTTGAAGTAGTTGACTCAAATAACACCAACAGTGCCTGCTCGGGAAATGGTTTAAATAAATATGATGATAGCGGACGGCGAGGAGAGTTAAAGCGTTCTCAGACATATTCCACAGTTTCAAATGCCTTTAATGGTAAGATATCAAACTACTCTGGAACATCAAGTTCAAAATATTCAGGAGAACCACTGAAATATCACTATCATGGTCGAAACTCCAGAGCACTTAGTTTTGGTCATAGTACATTATTTGGAGCTGGTCATCGCAATTCACATCGTAATATTAATCGTGGAGGGACAGGATTGAGTGGAACATCAAATCGTGGAGCAAATGCTTTTAATCCTCCAAGTTTTCATGCTAGTTTAGACTTGAATTTTGGCTTCACCAATGATGAAGTTGAAGAATTACTATCACAGGGTATAAAACCTTGGGATAGTGAAGCATCAGCTGCATTAGCCGTTCTACGAGGAGAACTCGATCATTTGTTGGACTGATCGTGTTCGCAGTCATACTGTATGTTGTTTCTCACTTGCATATAATGAATCGTTAGGTTTTTGGGACTTTTATTGCATTCGGAACATCGATATTGGTTGTTTGCAGTCGTTTTGTTTTGGCCAACTTACACAGGTGAATTCCATTTCAGTAGTAATTTAAAAAAAAGATATATATATATATACTATTTAGCTTTCCTTCTTTAGCTTTTAAAAGATAGTGTGCTTAAACTTTTCTGTGTTTTTATTGTAGTTATTCAACTATTATTCTTATCTTTCACCAAGTACTCAACCTATATATTATCATTCTTCCGTTATGTCTTCATTTTTGTGAGTGAATAGGCTGTTATATGTTGTAAAGACTGTGGTGAGATACAGTTGAATAACATTCGTCATGTATGACATCGTCTTGTTGTTTTGATGAAATGGAAGTTTGCTTCTCCTTCAACTGAAATTTCTTTTATGCGATGTGAGAAAAATGACTGCCTCTGCATATGTGTGTGTGTGATCGAAGGCCGACTTGCATTAAGAGACCCAAACATTTAGTTTTGATGTTCTTCTTGTCATGTTTCCTATTTGTCATTTCGTGGTGTTTATTGATCATACTTCCATAACATATATACATATGCATACACATGTTTGCAGCAATGGAACATGGAGCAACCAAACCTTTGAAACTCATCTGCGGCAGATTAATTCACTTAACCTATAGATTAAAATGTTACCTTTTGCTCTAACCTTTATTGTTCAACACATTTACTGGTGTGAAGTTAACTGTGTAAAAGATATTCCATACCAAGAAGCTGTCTACCATATACATATATTATCAAACTATGCAAAAGTTCTTACGATTGGAATAATCCTGCAATACATGAGAAGTGCTCATTAAAAAAAAAGATAACAAAATATATATTAACGCTTCAAACTGCAACAGTAAAATATTTTGTCAAATATAATATTCCACTTGTCAATTGTCAATTTGACTCTGTTGCTTGTCTCACTCTCATGCTGTCTTTTGTCTCTATGTCTGTAAAACTTCAACTTTTGTCCTTCCTGTGTGTGTGTACGTGTGATTGGTTTTTTGCCCATGCGTCCAGGCAATCTAGAATCAACTGTTTTCCTTTCCTAATATTTAATGATGATTAAAAGTGTCGTTATTATTCTGTTCGGCGCAGCAAAATAAAGTAAAAGCCATGTTTGCTCGAGAAAAAAATGTTAATAGAGTCTTTTTTTGTTACTTTAATTATTGGGAGAGGGGTGGAGGATTAAATAGTAGTAACGGAATTATTTATTTTTGATTATAGCTTGATTCTACACCGTATTCTTGGCACAAGTATGGAAATCTCAGCATGTGATATCGGTAGCCCAAACTTTCCAGGCCGACCATAGATATCAAGTGTGCGTCGGCAGGGGATCGAACCCGGGACCATGTGCATGGTTGGCAAGAGTCCTAACCGCTGTGCTACCGACGGACAACTCTATATAGTCAAAATACGTCTGTCTTGTCTTAGAACCTCGATTTGCATGTATCTTCGGTATTGTTCTACTCTGTCTTCCATATCACGCATCTTTGCCCTCCTTTCATTTTTCTCATGTTGTTTTTCAAGCATTGTTCAATAAATTCATTTTGCCACCATTCAACACTTATATACATACTTACCCCTTCATCTGTATACTACTTATAAATCCTGTCAGTAACACGTACAACAGGACTAATTTGAATAACTGCAGCTTACTTTTTTCTTATGTTTAGATAGTGCCTTTTTCAGCTTAAGTGTAGTACTTGAAAATTATCCCATTGTCGTGTAGAATAAAATGCAATTGCATATAGGAATTACTTGCAAATTGAAAACACGTACTAAGCTTACTTGTAACGAAGTTCAGTTAAATTTCTGAGTTTTTATTCTTTTAAATGTGATCATGCAGCTAACATATAGCTCAGTTTCTGAAGAAAAACGACTATCTTTTTTCAAGTTTAATTAAGGATTGATGTAAGTTAGAGAGCCGCTGAAAACCGTAGAGTACTGGATAGCTGTTTCTTCCAGATTTCGGACTCATGAAGGTACTCATCCGCCGAGGTTTGAACCCAGTATCTTCTAGTTACAAGGTAAGCTCCTGGACTATTCATCATCAATCCGTCATTAAACTTGAAATAAAGTAAACCTCAACAAACTAACCCTTGAAAATTAATCTGATACTCGCCAGTGACTCACCACTGGACTAAATTGCCAAGGAGCTCTAGTGAGAAGTCGTGACCAGTAGAGTCGTCCACTCAGTCGATAGTGAGGATGAATACTTGCCAATGACATAGGCTGGTGGTAGCGCTAAAGTTGGAATTCATAAGCCATTGGATCGCATTCTGGTGGCTGGATGATCTACAAGCTTGTCTTGTAATGGGAAGACCTTGGATTTGAAATCCGATATGTGCGTGCCGCTGAAGAGTACCACACTAGGATGAAACAGCTCTCCAGTACTACTCCCTACTTTTCAGTGTTTCTGCAACTTACATGAATCTGTAATCAAAATCGAAATAAATCAAATGACTGCAGAGTAAATCTTGGGAATTATCTGTATTATTTGATCTCATGACTCCCTATTGAAATTGGGACAATATAACAGGAATCGATTGTATTTTACTTCACACTATTTCAGAACTAAATTTATATATATTTTTCATCTTAAGGACACTTTTCATCGAGTTAGCCAGTAAAAGTAAAACAAGATTTTTAACTACTCACTAGGTAGCAAACAGCGTCATGTTTGTAGTCCTTCATTTAATGCAGGCTGGATTCTGTCAATCAGGTTTGAAATGTCTCCACCATCTTAGATGATCCGCCATCATGAATTGTTGTTAGGTGATTGAAGACAATCGGCAGGAAGCCTTCGACCTTGGTTTCATGCTTTTTTCTCATTCATTAGCAAGGCATATCTACAATCTTGAGGGAACTGATATCTCCTCTGAGATTCGAACCCGCGTCACTCAGTGCTGAAGTCAGAGAAGTTATAGTAGGCAAATTTGCGTATGGTAGGCAAAAACCTGATGGTTTAGGTGTACGATCATCTTGGTGGCTATATCATCTTTGACTATATATACTACCCTCTGTTACTGTTATAAAAAAATGAACAAATGGTGGAGTTATCTTAATAAAAAAAAACATTTTATGTTGAATTAGCATTCGTTGACTCATAACTTCGTGAATGAGGCATGCCTGCCAGAAATTTGAGACAGCCTTATATATTCCTTATATACAACTAAAAACCAAAGTTATGAAAGCGTTATAGATTTCTTATCGATTCAAGTGCTGTTATACGATATAGTGTGAAGTTGAAAATTATATTGTTAGATTTACGTTGCCAACCAACATCAGTTAGAGAGATCATTAAAAACCAGGGAGCAATGGACAGTTGTTTCGTCTCAATTTTTCACGTCAGTTAGATTTCAGTGATCACACTATCTGATTTTAATTCCTGAAGAAGTTCTAACAGGTATAATTTATTCAAAAATCCCATCATCTGAATATCACCTGCAAGCTCACTGATGGCTACTGAATTGATTTCCCGAAGTTGTAGTGAGAAATTTTTGAAATTTGGGTCCATCATACCTGAGATGAAGTAGATGATTGGTAATGGCAACAGTATACCACGAGTTGAATTCCAATGGCTGAATAGCCAAACAGCTTGGTTTGGTAACCTGAGAAGTCATAGGTCCGATCTTTGATAAGTTCATAGGTGTGCACTGATGAGGAGTCCCAGTACATGACGAAACAGGGGTATCTAGCAATGCATTCTCTGCTTCCTCTACCAGTTTGTTGGTTTTCGCCTGCAAGTCTATGAGTTTTGTATATAGAATTATAAGTTTTAATTCTTTTTATATACAGAATTTCAAATGACAATATCAAACATATGTGATAGTTTGGCTAACGGTCATATTTAAAAACCTATTAAAAACTTACTCGGCCAATGACACTATTATAAGGAATAAGTAAAATTCTTTCAGAATTTATCATACAAAGAGGTGATCATGACACTTCTGAAGTGCCAATCATTAGTTGATAAAATGAAACAATTAGTCCCTTTGATAAATTTGAACAAGGCATTAAGAAGACAAATTTCGCGAGATGATATCATTTCGTAGTTTCTTTACAACCGCTTAACAACTAACATGGTTAACAATGATAAAATAAAGTTCATGAATATTACTCAGTTAAATAAAAAAACAAAATTACATACTAATGACCAATCATATTAAGATAGGTCATGCAGTCCAGGGTAGGCGAAGATTGAAGTCTATTGTGTTGTTTTTGTACACACAGTTTAGGCTGTATGTGATTAATCCAAAGTGCTTCCATCACCTTCAATAACCTTGAATTAGAGTTATGTGCAATAATTGTGAAACAGTCATTAATATTCATTGATTTTGTGATCAGACATTAATGTGTTTTGCATTGGATGATGCTGGATTTCCATTAAGATTAATCGCGTTAGGATTTTCGATATGATTTACTAGCCATTTTGGGATATGTTCTTTTCGACGACATTGGAACATTCTGTTAGTTCTACCTATATAGATGTCACCGCAGCTGCAGGTGAACTTGTAGATACAGTTTGAAGTAGAGTCCACAGAATTTCGTCCTTTAATCCTAGGTAGGTACAGGGATCGAAAATGTTCGGCAAGTGAGAAAAAGAGAAATGATATCATCTCGCGAAATTTGTCTTCTTAATGCCTTTGAATTGGCGTGATAATGTGATGTTAGCCAAAGTATGCTAAATACTAATCAATAAATAAAATGAATACTTACCACTCATATCATCATATCTTATGCTTAATCTATCTTTCTTTATCGTACTTCCTCTTATGGAAATGTTCACAAATGATATCATTTCAATTTCGCTGAGATTTTACAAATATAACTTTATAAATGTCTACTTCTCACTCAGCGCTCAATTATTTTGCAGCTATTCGATCAAGTCTTGATCACAGTTCCTATGAATGATATGCAGTTGTTCTGCCATACACATTATTGTCTATCACATACACACATTTCTCATATTCGGCTAACCATGACCATAACCTTTATTCGAACATGGTCACTAATGTCTTATGCAAAAATACAGACTGTTTACAGTGTACAACAAAATCGATCAATAGTAGTAAGCCTGCGGTCGAATTTTGATCACACACTGGTCATGCAATTTGTCTATTTTGTTTTGATGTCTGTTTATGACTCATATGAATGGGCGAGAAATCTAAAGACAAGATGCGTCCTATGTGTGTATGTATTATATATCCATATATATATATATATATATATATATATATATATATATATATATCATGCGATTGTTCAACCACCGTGATGTAGGAATAGAATATGGTAGCGTATAATTCTGTCATAGAGTAAATTTACTCGATAAAGTTTCACAGTGTTATATGGTATTATTTCCTGATGACAGTTTAAGCACTTTTTATTGCTCATAATCATACATGAGTTTCAAATTGATTAGACATATGAATATGGATGACACTTTTACCGTGTTAAAAACAGAATATATCTCTAATTTCTCCACACGTATTTAAACCTACAAACTCACTCAGGTGTAAGCTAGGTAGGCTAAGGGACGATACTGACTCAATTAGATAGAATAATATAATCTCCAAAATAGCTCTCAATGACTGAGTTTGACTACATAGCGCAAACCGGTAGGTCGGCGGATAGTCAGACTATCAGAACATACGGATTCATTACAGGATTTCATCATGAGCTTACATTGGTTAGAGAACCGTTGGAAAACCTGGGAGTACGGGACAGCTGTTTCATCCTAGTTAGGGACTCTTCATCAGTACGCTCACTGGCGACTGCCCTATCCAGGTAGGTAATTACCTGGGGTTATAATGAGAAGTCGTGACCAGTAGGGTGCAGCAGGTCGGGTGTGAGGACAAATACTCGCCGAAGACACTGGCTAGCGGTTGCGCTATATCATGAATTGGCAGAAGTTAGAATTCATGGACCATTGGATCGGGTCCCAGTGGCTTAATGGTATGTGAGCTGGCTCGCCTTGTAACCAGAAGGTCCTGGGTTCAAACCCGGTGGGTGCGTACCGCTGAAGAGACCCAAACTAGGACGAAACATCTGTCCAGTACTTCCAGATGGTTTTCCAATGGTTCTCTAACTGATGTCAGCTCATGATGAAATCCTGTAACCAAT